ACCTCAGCCATTGGCTAAGGCATTTAAATATCTCCAATAAGAATAGATGTTACATATTAAAACAAAAGCACCTATTGTATAAAACATTTAGGTATTTAACATAACTCTACATAAAGTGAAAGTATACACAACATCTTTATCTAATGAAAAATACATTACTCTATAAATTATACTGATGTCTACTTAAATACAAACTAATTAAATTATAAATTACAGAAACAAAAAAGTTAATTGGGAGTGAAAAACAATTCACAAATGAGCATCTGACGTTTACTGGTTCAATTTTATTGCAAATATAATTTCCCATTTTGTAACTTTATACTTTATAGCAAGTGAATACCAATGTAGTGTGTTAAAATCATAATTTTTGAATTAATAATTTTAAAATTTCTGAACAAATATTCATTACTACTCAAAAATAAACAAAAACTTGGAAATACTGAGCCTCAAATAGAAAATTATGCATAGGGCAGTATATTTGTGTTATAGCAGTGTATATTTGTATTATAGCAGTGTATATTTATGTAATAGCAGTGTATATTTGTATTATAGCAGTGTATATTTGTGTAATAGCAGTGTATATTTGTGTAATAGCAGTGTATATTTGTGTAATAGCAGTGTATATTTGTGTAATAGCAGTGTATATTTGTGTAATAGCAGTGTATATTTGTGTAATAGCAGTGTATATTTGTGTAATAGCAGTGTATATTTGTGTAATAGCAGTGTATATTTGTGTAATAGAAGTGTATATTTGTGTAATAGCAGTGTATATTTGTGTAATAGCAGTGTATATTTGTGTTATAGCAGTGATAATTTGTGTAATAGCAGTGTATATTTGTGTAATAGCAGTGTATATTTGTGTAATAGCAGTGTATATTTGTATTATAGCAGTGTATATTTGTGTAATAGCAGTGTATATTTGTATTATAGCAGTGTATATTTGTGTAATAGCAGTGATAATTTGTGTAATAGCAGTGATAATTTGTGTAATAGCAGTGTATATTTGTGTAATAGCCAGATCTATATTTATTATGTCTACAGATAATCCACTTGTAAATTTATTACAAATCACGTTGCTGTTAGCGATGAGTTCTA